AACACTAACGTCTTTGTGGAACCCCTGTAAACTGGTCCCTGGGGCTTCCATCACCCTATCCCCTTCAACTGTATGCCCTTATGGCCTAGGCACATCCCTTAACCTCTCTGTAAACTGTAGAGGCTATCTGGTTTGCTTTTCTTATAAAGTTATCTTGAGGTTCATGTGAGACAATGCATGTAATTGTAAAATATTATGCAAATGTCACTAGTATTTAAATACTATATGCATAATTTAATGTTAATTAAGGATTTATTAGTATACCACGTGGATCTTTGAAAGACTAAGGGGTGCTTTGATGTGCTTGGAGAGTAAGTTCTTGTGGAGTGGTATATAGGTGTAGGGCACATGTCCCCACCAATAGCCAGAGGGCACATGGGGGTTCAGGAAGGGGCGTAGGTATTACCCAAGATTGGCTCCAAGTAAAACGACATCTTGCCGGGACCAGCAGTTAGGGTAATGGCTATGTCGCTGGACTACCATGTGGCCGACTGTGGTTCAAGTCCCGGACCCGGTGGCTTAAACTCACACCGGGTGCGTGTGCGTGCGTGCCCAAGATCCTGAGAGGAAAATGGAGAAGGGATTGCAGCGTGGCCATCCCCCCTGGGGGGTGATTTCTCGCTTTCTGTCTCTCTGTCTCTCTCTGTCTTTCTGGCGAGCGCACGCGCCCTATAGCAAAAACCTCTCCAAAAAAACCCCAAAAAAACAAACGACATCTTGCCATGAGGAAGTGATTCCTGTGTCAATCCCTTGCCTCGCCTCCCCTTTTGCTATAGAGCACGTGCACTCGCCAGACAGACAGAGAGACAGAAAGCGAGAAATCACCCCCCAGGGTGGATGGCAATGCCGCAATCTCTTCTCCATTCTCCTCTCGGGATCTTGGGCACGCACGCACACGTGCCCGGCCTGAGTTTTAAGTCACCGAGTCTGGGACGCGAACTGCGGTCGACTACATGGGAGTCCAGTGACATAGCCATTACCCTAACTGCTGGTCCCTCTATACCTAATTCTTAATGAACAACTATTATAACAAATGGAAGATATTAAAAACACTATTTCGGGTCAGCAGGTGGCATGGTGGTGAAGCTGCTGGACTCTCACATGGCCGACTGAAGTTCGTGTCTCGGACCTGGCAGCTTGCTTTCTCACTTCATTTTCTCTCTCTCTGGTCAAAAATAAAATAATACGTCATGCTGGGTAAAGTCTCTTTAAAATCTAAATGATGTATAGTGATTAAATGTATAAATAATAATTAAAATTAATGAATAAAAATTATAAAAAAATAATAATTCTTTAAAAATAATACTATTTCATAATGTCATTATGTATTCACATTATTATAAATCTATTTTCATTGTTCTCATGTATGAGACACATTTACAAATTTAATTTTTTTAAGTGAAAATATTATGCTTGCAAAAGAGCATATATAAATCGAAGTGTGTTTTCCACTTTTCTCTCAGGTTATTTTTTTCTTTTTGTTTTTGCTTTTTAAAGTTGTTTGTTTTTTTCTTCTGAGAGAGAAAGAGAGAGGGGCCTATCTTCACATCACGATCCATCTCTAGCCTCTGCTGGTCAAAATCACAAGCACATGTGTACATATCCACCTGTCCAGCATGTACAGGGAGGCCACAGAACACAAGCCCAGGACCTTTCCCATGTGGGTTTACTTATGGTACTGCTATGCCACCTCTATGCCATCAACTGGTATATTCTGAACACAGAATTTTTGTCAGTTACCTGTAAGGAAAAATATACACTGATTTATGTAGCTTGCTGTAGGTGAATGGAAGATCTTAATTTTAATGTAGTTTGGATTTAACAACATTTCCCTTTTTGCTTTTTATTTGTTGTTTATGGAGTTCCTCTCCACCTGGAAGCCATAACGATACTATATCATATTACATTTTTTTTCTAAGTCTTACGTTTTGATTTTCTCACTTACGTTCTCAATCACCTAGGGTTGATATTTGTGCACAATATCGGGTACAGACATGTTTTTGTGCTGGTTTTCACATAGACAGCCCTTGTCTCTGTAACATTTTTGGAATGGCCCAGCTTTCCCCACTGAGCTCCATGGAAAGCTTCCTCAGGTGTCAAGTTTCTATGGACAGGGATCTCACTCTGGGCTTTTTACTCTTTGACTGTTCTCATGTAAATGCCACACTAATGGAGGCTTGATATCTAGACAAGCAAATATACCTTTGACTCTTCTTCTTAAGAATAGTTTTTGGTTATTTTTTGTCTTTTGGTTATTTCATAAAACTTTAAGAATCTGCTTGTAAAATCTGGGTTTTGATTTGACTTACTTTGAGGGGCCAGACTGTGGAATGGCAGTAAAACATGATGCTCTGCAAGGCTGGTCCTCCTGGGAAGGTTCTGTATTCATGCCTGGAGACCTACCCAAGTATTCTGGGCACATGTGTGCTTGTGATCCAGGGCTGCCTGAGGCTAAGAGTAAACGGTGTCAAGACCTTGTTGGGAGTACTCGCTCAGTCTCTCTCTTGCTCGTGGAAGAAATGAATGAGTCATGCACACACAATATCGACAAACTAGAATTAGGGTTTCAGTGAAGTTGAACAAGCAGTGTTCCATTGAGATCGATACTTCTCTGATCTTCTCTACTGTCCCACAGAGGCAGGGCAGCATGAGGTAGTATGTGCTGGCCGAGGACAGAGCCCTGGAGGCCTTGCTTCATGTACAATCAATTCCAGATTTCCCCTTGGAATCTCTTCTTCACTCATAAAAGTTCAAACAAAACCTGCAGCCCTTCCACAACATTCAAATTTTATGGTTATATTTAAAATGACATTTTAATTTCCAAAATAATATTTAAAAGGCATATTTGGATTAGTTCCTTTCCTCAGAATCATTGATGAGTTTACAAAAATGTATACTTGTCTGGAATTGTAGATCTTAAGAGGTGTGAGTAACTGAGCACACTTATTCCAATTTCTCTGTTTTGCAAATAGAGAAATTGACCCTAATCTTCCACTTTATTATACATAACCTCTCTTAACCTAAACATTTCAAATTGAGCAGTTCAATTAAAAGAAATCTATTATCACTCAGAATGCTCCCATCTTCTTGGTAATGTAATCCCTTAATTTAAATTCTTAAATTCTTAATTTAACTCTATAATTTTTCTAAACCTTGATGCATAGCAATCCAAATTTTATAATACATGATTTTACTCAAAAGAATGATGAGATTTTGGTTTAATTTGCTTTAATGAAGCTCACTCATAATACCTGGTAACATTTTCAATTATAACAAGTTATTGGGTCAGTGTTTCAGAAAAGAGTTTACAGTGAGCTTTGAGTTATTTTCTAGAGTTTTCCTGAACACCCAAAAGCAATATTTTATCAGTATAGCTTAGATGATTATTCCTATATTATTTTTCTCCATAATGGAACTTTTTGGGAAACAAAAATAGAGGTCAGTGGCTAGGTGATGGCATAGTGGGAATCTACTGGACCCACTTGGGGAGGTCTTATGTTTGTGACCTGGGACCTCCTCAAACATGCCAGGCATGCATACCAATGACCCAAGCTGGTAGAGGTGTGGGTGGACTGCAGTGTGAAGACTCTGTTCAGGGTACCTGTCTTTCTTTCTCTTTCTATTTGTCTTTCTCTCCTCATGGAAGAAATGAATAAACTGAATAAATAAAAGGAGCTAGTTTTCCAGTTTGCAATTCATCACTTCCTAGTTGGGTGAGCTTAAATAAAGTTATTTTCCTTCCTGTGTCAAGTTTCCTTGACATATTAGCAATTCCCTTTCTCTTCTTCTGTCCATTTCAAAAAACCAATTTATAAAGAATTTTATAATCATGTGAGGTGAAGCACCTAGGTACTTCAAAATGTTTGTAGAAATACGGAATTAAAATAGGAGTTTATGGGGCCAGCAAGTGGCATGGTTAAGGCACTGGACTCCTATATGGCTGACTGTGGTTTGAGTCCTGGATACAGTGACTTCAAAATCATGTGAGGCACTTGTACGTGTGTGCCCAAAATCCCAGGAGAAGAATGGAGAAGGCATTGTGGTATGGCCACCCCTTCTGGGGAGCGATTGCTCACTTTTCCTTTCACTGTCTCTCTCTCTGCCTTTCTCTGGTAAGCACATGCTTCCTAAGGGAAAAACCTTAGAGTAAAAAATTTTTCATGATACACATCCTCACAAGCTTTTCTGAAGTCCTCCTGTATTTGTACTTGCAAGAGACCAGGGAAAGAAAAAGAACATGGAACTATGTTGTTAAGTAGATAGGTTTTTATTTTGGAGTCAGGCATGTCTAGTTCCACATGTGCATCTGTTGGGTGCATGTCTTGTTGTGAGTCGGAGAAATGCCATGCTGCTTGGCAGAGCTGGAGTGCTAGCTGCAGTTTATAATTAGAAACTCACTGGAGTAAGGACCACGGCTATCTTCCATGGGGAATTACATTTTTAGTGCATTTACTTTGAGGACCTTCCCTTACTCCTTTCTTTACCCTGCCTTGTTCTTTTCTTTCAGTATCACAGAAGTGAGGCCAAGATGCCCGTATCACCAAAACAAGCAGAAAACCTCTCACCAGTGAATGTTTTACACCTGCTGAGATGAGGGTGAGACAGACTGAGTCCAAGAATTTCTACAACTTCCCCTGACACTTTCAAAAAGAAATACGAAAGAGTCTCCAATGAAAAGAAATTTATTTTGCTTTGGGGAAAAGCCAAAAACCCTTAGCAAATCAAAATTGCTTGACCTGCAGAACGTGTACAGGTTTCTGGATCAAAAGGCAGCCATTAGCAGACTGGAGAACACAAACACAAAACACAACAATGTTTCCTGACATCAGATGAAGAATGGACGCTGAGGGGAAAACAGACTTTCCACTGGCCCAAAGGAGCTGAACTGGGGACGCGTATTTAAAGAACACACGAACAAAAGACTTACGCAGAAGAAAGAAAAATACTTTCATGGTTCTCACAGACAAATATTCCAGAAGAAGTGATAATGGAGATCAAGGAGAATAGGTAAAATGAGTTAACATTTTAAATGACAATAATTTGCACTGAGGTTTTTGGAATTGTTGGGTTTTCTAAATGAAGCATAGGCAAGCAGAAACAAATGAACGCTCTTTAGAGGTAAGAGTGAGTATATACTTCAGTTCTAACTGAAAGTGAACACGAAACATCTCAAGCCAGCGGCTGGAAATAAATTCCTTCACATTTGTCTAGACAGTGTTTTGGGTTTTCTGTTTCCTGGTGTGGCTGTTATAATGGGGAGTTGACTAGAGGTATCCCATTTTCTTCTTTGTAGAATGTATGTATTCATTTCTCTCACTGGTCATACATTTATTTGGAAAACATAAAGTAAATACTGTGAAGTATCTGGAATAATGTAGAATAACCTGAGAAAGGAGATAGAGAAAAACCACTCTTACTTTTTCTTTATAAACAATAACAGTAAAAGATAATCCTCATATTTTTCCTCAAGTTTTATCACTATGAGCATATATTTCATAGACTTAAAATATATTTATGCAAAAATATATTTAAGTATATTTATCATTGTGCCTTAAATTTCTATGTGCATTTCTTTTTTTTCTTAGGCGTTATAACAAAATACCCTTCATTACTTTTAACTGCTGCATTCAAATACTGTATTTGAAATAGAAATTTTAGTGCTATAGAGACCAGGAAAGGTGTATCCTATGATCCATGATATCAACAGATGTACAGACTTTTCAAATTTGGCTTTCCAAATTTGAAACATTGAAAAAAATCACAATTTTTTTCCCTTGGTTTTTTGAAAATTTTTACTGCCTCTTAGAGGAAGCAAATGTAACTTTCTCAAGAGAATTTGTCTCCTAGCTTATCAGGAATCATTTTGTGACTAATTATTATTTAAGTATGTGACTGCAAAAGGGTAGTGACATTACTTTATGGGCTTGATTTTTATTGATCAGTTAGAATATATGATTATTTAGTGCTATGAAAATTCATCTGAGATGAATGTAAATTGTTTAAGCCTGAGAGAAATATATGTATATATCATCACACATATTGTTCACAATAATTCTGTGGATTTTTTTTTTTTAACCATCTAACGTGCTTCTATGTTAATTCCTTTCCTCCCTATTTTGGAAGTAGATGGTTTTTCAAATTAAAGGAGAATTCATTTTTATTCAACTCATCAATTTGAACATAGATACCACTTTGCTATAGGTAATTTCATTTATACATTTATTTTAATGAATAGTGATTATATAGATTCATTGATACTGATACTAAATTTTCAACAACCAAGATTGGTTTGAAGCATCTAACAGATGTTGAGAAACCAACAGATTATGTTGTCTTTGTAATCACTAGATGATAGAGTCTATTTATAGCTAGAAAAAAGTATGAATTAATGTTGAGTGTGTTTTTGCCAAAATTCACAAAATTTTATAGCTTAGAATTTTCCATTGACTTAAAGTAATAGCAACATTTGTGAATATACAGAAGTCAAAACGTCACTCTTAAGGGATTTTTAGTTTGTTATTAAGACATGTAAAACCTAAGACCATAAATTTGTAAAATTTGATTGTCTGCTGGTCTCCTTGTTTTTAGGATCCCATCTGGGTTTCTGGAGCTCTGGGTGTGTTTATCCAAGTGTATAGATGTATTTGAGGATGGAGACGTGGAGTCACAGATTTAACATATAGGAGCTTCCCAGCCTGGCTTTATGTAAATATTTCGGGGAAATAAGTTAAATGATTTATCTGATAAGAAACCTAAAATACTATTTATATGATAAAATAAAAGCAGGTGTATTATTGAATATATTTGTCTGACATTTTAAGCTGAAAGTTGTGACTGAAAGACTCTCACTTGTTGAAGGCTTCCTTGGGTCTGGCTCTTTCTCCATTGCTTCCAGGAAGGTACTGGAGCATCAGTGAGTGTCAGTACAAAGAGCAGAGAGATTCCAGGGCTTCATCAGATTTGGGGAAATGGCCCCTGAGGATTCTGAGGAAACAGTTTTATCTACGGTGTGCTTAGGGACATGGCCTGCTTGGGACTGATTCAGGCTGATGGAAATGTTTGAGAATCTCTTTTATGGGTAGGTTTTGTTTGATAAATGAGCAAACTGAGGTCACTTGACTTGGACAAGATTATAGAGTTTGTTAAAGAAAAAAATTATTCTGAAGCTTGTTAAAATGGTAAGGGAGACTATTTTAATAGATGTCAAGACTATTGCAATAGAAGAGAGAGAATGGTGTCAACTCTATAAACAGCAAAGACAACTGGGGATTTATAGCCACTGAGCACAGTGAATGGGTCAGTGGATGGAAAATTATTATGAGGCGACATCAGAAGTGGGGGGACTTGCTAAAGTGGCATGCTTTGGTGATCGGTATCAAGGGTCAAGGATGAGGAATTTGATCAGATATTGAAGGTGATTGGATAGCAAGAGTGAGGAGATTCTTTGTAAACTGGCTTAGCAGGATGGTTGCTGCCTTGGGCTAGGCAGGCCACAGACAGAGCCCAAGGATGAGGCCTGGTCAGAAAGAGGGCTCACAGGAGCCTTCTGAAGTTTGATTAAAGTAGGGGTCTATTTTAGTCCTTCCTGTTTAAGAAGACACTTCTTTTTCTCTGAACCATGTTAAGTACATTTCTCACGTGATTGTCTTTTGTTCATTAAGAACCGGTTGACGCATCTGTTGAGACTTGGAAGTAGAGTCTATTTGCTAGATATTTCAACAAGCCAGGCATCTGGGGCCAGCCTTGTAGTGCAATAGTTAAGCACTATGCAGAGGAAGTTGGATCCCACCTGCCCAATCAGAGTTTGAGTCCTGGCACCACTGGCTTTAAAAAATATGCCAGGTGGACCTGTGTGCCCAGGATGCTAATAAGATGGAGAACTGGAGGAAAAAAGTTGTGGCATGACTAGACCCTATTTGGGGGGTTCTTTTTTTTCTGTTTCTCTCATGCACTTGGTCTCTGGCATGAAAAGGGGAAAAAAGAAGTCAGGTATCTTCTAAAAATATAAAGCAAAATGGGCCGGTAGGTGGCCTGGTAGTTAAGGCACTAGATTGCCACATGGGCGACCATGTTTCAAGTCCTGGACCCAGCGGCTAAAAAAATCACATGAGGCATGTGTGTGTGCATGCCCAAAATCCTGGGAGGAGAATGAAGGAGAAAGGATTGTGGTGTGGTCATCAACCCCTGAAGGGTTATTTTTCACTTTTCCTCTCTCCATCTCTCCCTGGCAAGTGCACACACCCCAACACATCTGATGAGGGACAAGAGAGAATTCAGGCTTGGAGCCATGATCTTGTGGCAGGAACCCAGAAACAGAGCCAGAGTGCAAGGAAGAAACAAGTGGAATAGCACTTATTACATAGCACCTAAGTTTCAGGAGTTCATGAATATAAATAAAATTAATTTAATAATATTTATGCCCACATCTCCATGGCTCCGAACCTTCACCTGCTTGACATGTCCTTAGCCTTCATGTTCCTCTTGTCTGCTTAAAATTTCCCAAGCTATTTCTGGATGTCCTCAGGGCTTGGGATGTTTCACAGGGCTTCGGAGCAAGTTTACTCATGTTTTTTCCACTTGAGCCTCTTGGTCCAGGGCCTTGTATGACTTCTGCGGCTGGTGCCCTCTGTAAAATATTATTTCCTCCTATGCATCTAATAGACCCCTGGAACCCGAAGCAACTGAAGCCTGTGGCTGGGGTGGAGATGCTAGATATAAGGCTTCTCCTCAAACCTGTGCTAACTGGAGACAGTGCTGCACAAACTCAGCTCTGCCTGGTCTTCCATGAATGCTGTGGCTTTATCTCATGTTCTCCAAGGCTTACATTCAGTCCTTCCTGTGTGGCCGTGTGAGGGGAAGGTGGTGCCAGTCCTGTCCCTTCTATGCCTCCCTCCTTCCTCTTTCCCTTAGATACCTCTGCATCCAAACAAAACAAAACAAACTCAACAAATATCCTCCACCTGCTCGAAGAGAAGACACATTGCATAATGGAAAGAGTATACACTTTTTGAGCCAGACATACTTGGTTCAAATCTCAGTCTTGCCATGCTAGTCTTGAGGCCTTGCATCAGTTACTTTATCCATAATGTGGGAAAAAGTAATACCGACAATAACGTTAGATTAGCGATCATGAATGTAAAACACTGATGCTATACCTGACAGTGAGTGCATGCCTAAAAAAGGGTCCCCGTATGACTCTGTCCTCTGGCAGCTAGCAGGAAGTCTAGCCATCATAGCATCGTGTTCTCTAGTGTGGGAATCACTGCCACACCCCACAGTATCTGTCACTGTGTAGGTGTCAGAGAATAGGTGCCACTTGCCACCGTCCCAGCCGAATGAGTGGTTAGTTACCAAACTGTCTGTCTAAACCCTCTTGGTTGGTTTGGGGGACTCTTCTTCTTGCCACTACGTCAATGTGCCCAGGTATACTATGATCTTGTGCAGAGAGGGGCTTATAGAATGTCTCCAGCATCAAATAGAAAACACAAGATGGGAAGAGAGGGCTTGGGTAGAATCCAGAGGAATAGCTCACAGTATCTTTTAAAAAAATGAATAACCAAAAAGCATCAAGCTATCTGACAGTTGGTGGCCCTTGTCAAGTGGGGATGAAAAGGCTGGGTCAGCAGATTTGGTTTCCCTGCTGTGGGCTCCAGCTACAGCTTCCATTTTACTAGAGCTACATTTACTCATTAACTATCAAACAGCCCTCTTGATGACAGTCTCTCATATGTGTGTTTTGGCCCATTCTTGCCAAAGCTATGAATGCATAAAACATGAGGATTTTAGATGATCTCATTTACTGAATCTCCTGGGGTGGAGGCAGGGTAGAGAATCTCATATAGAAATGATCATTTAGAACCAAACTGACTCAGGTTTTTTTTTTTTTTCTTTAATTAAGCAGTAGGGAAAAATGTTTTTTTGTGAACTTTTAATTTAAATTACTCTTATTTCTAGTACATTATGATTTAAAGCAGGGGTTATAAGAAAAATAGCAGAGACATAAAACACTAATTACTTTCAGAACCAAACACAATTTCAAACCTGTAACAGTTCATACCTAAGTAAATAGATTCTATAGAAAGAATAATTTGTAAACCCTAGTAGAGTGAACAGGGAAAAAAAAAAAGCCCTTTGAAATCTTGTAGAAAATATAAAAAAATCAGAAAAAACCACTTAAAAGTGGTTGTCTATTATTGTGACCTATGGTATAAGTAGGTGCAGTCTAACAATTTGACATTGTGATGTAAAATTAAAATGTTCTGGGGACCAGCAGTTGGCGTAATAGCTATGTCATTGGACTCCCATGTAGTCGATTGCAGTTCGAGTCCTGGACCGTGTGGCTTAAACTCATGCCAGGCGCGTGTGCGTTCCCAAGATGCCGAGAGGAGAATGGAGGAGAAGGGATTGTGGCAAAGCCATCTCCCCAGGGGGTGATTTCTCACTTTTTGTCTCTCTGTCTCTCTCTGTCTTTCTGTTGAGTGCACATGCCCTATAGAAAAATCCTCTCCAAAAGAAAAAAAAAATTCCCTTCTCCATTTCCTTTATACACCAAAAAGAAAAAAAAAAAAAACTCCATTCCCTTTATACCCCAAAAAAAAAAAAAAAAAAAAGAATGGAAGTATACTTCTTAGGTTTGAAAAAAATTATGGCTAAGTTCCAGCAGATGGTGTAATGGCTATGTCTCTGGACTCCCATGAAGTTGACTGCGGTTTGAGTCCTGGACCCCACCAGGGTCACTTAAACTCATTCTGGGTGGGTATGTGTGTGTGTGTCCACAATCCTTAGAGGAGAATGGAGGAGAAGGGATTGTGCTGTGGCCATTCCCCTTGGGGGGTGATTTCTCACTTTCTCTTTCTCTTTCTCTGTTTTTCTGGCGAGCACACATGCCCTACAGCAAAAACCTTTCCAAAAAAAATTACAAAAACCCTAAAAGTATTGGGCCATCGGAAAAGTCAGGACACATTTTTGCATAGAAAAATACACATGACTTTTTTGATAACCAATGGATTTCTAACACTGTAATTTATTTGCTCCTTTGCTTGCATGGAGAGCAAAAGAAAATATGTCCTTTAAAGTACTACCTACTCCTCATATGTATACATAGTCCCTTTTTAATTAGGGAAAGCTTAGCTCAGGCTGGTTCAGTTGAGTTACAGAATCAGATATTTTTAAACTTGGAGAGGATAGACGTTGGCAAGGAGTGCATGCACTTTGCAGATATTGTGTATGTGCAGAGGCAAGTGATGATTTCTTTCTGCCTACAGACCACGAACCAAGGTCACCAGAAAAGGCAGATACTCCATGTGTTATCTGTATGCCCATATTTTACTATCTATTAGATCATCGGGGAAAGTCATAATATGTTTATCTATGACTTTCTGTGCAAAAATGCGTCATGACTTTCTCTACGACCTATTCATATTACCGTAACATCATATTCTTTGGCTCCATAGAGCATGTTATAATAAGAGGTTGTTCATAATGTTTATCCCTTATAATAATATAGGGAATTGTTTCTATGCACTTTTAAAGTAAATGCCATAATGGTTCTCAACTCAGTCATCTAGTGAAGTCTGCACGACGAGTTAGGTCAGGGATCTGCAGCCCATTGCTTTGATTCATAAAGTGGCTTTCCCATGGATTAGGTTGTCTTTCACCTTTTGTGTCCAGTCAGTTGACCATGTAAACCATGCCTGATTACTGGGGAGCTATTTTCATTTTAAAGTCATTAACAAGGAGTAACCAACATTTTCCAATTTTTAACTTTTCTTATGGGCTGTCTTATGTTACAGAAAGGTTGGTTTTTATAGATATTATTTCTCACAATTAAAAAGTCACTTAAGTGGATTTAAACTTAAGGGACAAATTAAATTATAAGTTCTTTCTAAAGAAGATCAGTTTTCTGAACCATGCTATCCACTGGGTGAATGCCAGATATCCTTCTCATAAGTTGTGCCACTGAACTTCAAAGCATCACCTTACACAGAAAAATGGTATCTTCATAGATAAATATATTAATATCAGCCATATATGAAGACTGAAAAAAATCTTTAAGGTGACCAGAGGGACCAGTTTTTCTCTAAGGGGTCTTCCAGTTCTGGAGTGGAGCCCGTAGACTAGTAAGTACTCAGTAAATGCAAACAATTTGGAGAAATAAACTTTTAAATCTCATGCCAATACAATCAATTCTTTTTATCTTTTGATACTCCACGGTCTAATCCCACCTTCCCTTTGGACTTTGCTTTTAAAAAGATTATCTTTTTAAAATTAATGTGTAGCGAAGGAGGGCATCTCTTTTCTTGCTTTGAAAATGGTTTTGGCGTCTGCTATGAAAGGCTAAATCAGTTCCGTTCCATTCTAGTTTATTGATATCTTCCCGATAAGAGAATTGTTAAAGAAAAAAGGAAAGAAAAATGGAGAAAGACTCATATTTTTCAGATTAGTGTATTATCAATTTCTTATAACATGACTCAGCAGTAATGCATTGCTCAAACAATGCTGTGTCCATATGGGAGACCACAGGTTCAGTTCCTGGGCTGACCTGTAGGTGCTGGGCCAGCATGCCCTTGATCCTGGCTGGCTAGGAAGGCTGTGGAAGGCAAAGGAGGGACTGTAGCATGAGACCCTGTTAAGGGTACTTGCTTCTCTCTCTCTCTTTTTTAGCTTTGCTATAGGACACATATGTTTGCCAAAGAGAGATAGAGAGAATGAGAGATAAAGTGAGAAATCACCCTCCAGGGGGGATGATCATGCTTCAGTCCCTTGTCTTCCATTCTCCTGGAATTTTGGGGGCACAAAGACACAGCCTGGCATGTTTTTCAAACACTGGGTCTGGAACTTGAACTGTTCAGTTGGCCATGTGCAATTGGTCGCCTTAACCTCCACACTACCTGCTGGCTCTCTCAGTTTCTCTTTCTCTTGAAAGAAACAGTTAAACTTTCGGGCGGGGGGGGGTTAGTTAAGAAGCCCAATTTATTTCCCCTAATTTAAATTTGTACAAGGGTAGCAAAGTGAATATAGGGAATGAGCATGGGAATTCAAACATGTGAACACCCCTGAGTTCACAGACTTGGAGGAGTGATGCAGAACATAGAATGACATGTGAGGGATTGTTATTAAGAGGGAGTTTCAATAGTTTATGAGTAAATGCAGTTCATTCCTCCATGATCAGAGGAGTGGAAATTAAGTACTGAAAATGTTCAGAAAGTGAGTCTTTGCATTGGCTGGACTAGGGAAAGCTTCTGCTTTTCTGTCTGGGCACTGATGGATGAGCAGACTCTCAATAGTGTTGTTGGAGTCTTCCCATCTCTGCTGTCTTTTATGGCTACCTCCTGAAATGTGAGGGAGTGTTTCCAGCACCCACTTGTGCACTTAGTAACTTAGTATCAATATCCTCCCATGACATGATTTAAGGTGGAAGTTCTAGCCTGTTCCCAACTCTCTAGAGAAAGAGTTTGCAATGATCCTTCTTGCTCATCTTAGCCCTCTTTTGCCCATAGGCAGTTACCAGGTTCTGTGCAAACCTCTGGGGTTGGGGAGAGAGTGTGGTGTGGACAGGGGTATAGAGACCAGTTTCTTGTTCTTTCTTTTCTTTTCTTTTCTTTTCTTTTCTTTTCTTTTCTTTTC